CCCACTCCCCAAGAAATGTTCACATAACAGTGAAGCTGGGAATCCCCATGAAATATTGGACTGGTAAAGAAACATCACCATGGAACAAATTTAGCAAGATAACACACAGAAACGTAGCAGCTTGGAGAAGAGAAACAACACTCAGGCTAGTGATTTCATTATTATATAGTGCCGCCTAGCTCTCATCCCCCTACAGCTTTTCCTGATCTATGTAATGCTCAAGGTCCATGTAGCAAGGTAGCACCGTCAACAGCACTATATACACATGCCTTTTAACACTTTGCATTTTCTTTTGTTCTTTTCCTTCCTTCGTTTTTCTTCTTTCTTTCTCATAAACTACATCTTTCCTTTTCCAAATACCTCCATTAAAACCCAGAGGTGGACATGGTTTATAGTATGTGGGTATCTTTCTCTGCTCTTTGTCTTTTTAGTCTACCATTAACCAAAACTTCCATGTCTCCCCTCCCTTTCCAATTTTTGCTTTGCTTCGGCTATTCCCACTCCTACGTCTGTCACTCTTTTCCACTTCCTATCTGGCAGCTGAATTCTAATCACTAGTCTTGCTGTGACTGCTTATCTATATTTCTTTTCTTTTCCTTTCCATTCATGCCCACTGTAAATAGTATATTAAAATATGTGATGCTATCAGGGTCTCTACACTCTAAAACAATCAATACTTAACAGATATCTCCTTTGTGGGTGGTTAGTTTTTACTCTATCAGAAGAATGTATTTATTAACCACTGAATAGTGACATTGCTGCAGAGAGTCCTCCACCTACAGAGCTGGACTGGAAATAGAGAGTGGTACCAGGGACACTAGTCTCATGGAGAAAACATCACCATGACCTCACTACAACTTTATCTCTCTTTATCATTGCAAACCCTTTCACTGAAAAGAGAAATGTCCCAAATTAAAGGAGAGAGAACAACAATGGGTTTATGTCTTAACCAATCCTTTAACTCCAAATGGGTAGATCACATTCTCAAAACTTAAATAACACGAAAATCCATGACAATATATCTCTACCAAAAGTTTTGGGGAACCCATGGAAGAGGGAGAGGAAGGATTACAGAAGCCAGAAGGGTTGAGGACACACAAAACCATGGCCCTCAATGTCAACTAAGCAGGGATCATAGGGGCTCACAGAGACTGAAGCAACAATCAGGGAACCTGTGTGGGGCTGAACAAGGTCCTCTGCATATGTGTGCTTGGTGTTCTTGTGAGACTCCTAACAATGGGACTGGGAGTTGTCTCTGACTCTTTTGGCTGCTCTTAGGATCCTTTTCCTCCTGCTGGGTTGCCTTGTCCAGCCTTGACATGAGAACATGTGCCTAGACTTATTGTAACTTTTTATGCCATGTTCAGTTGATATCCCTAGGAGGCCTGCTCTTTTCTGAAGGGTAACGGGGGAGGAACATATCTGGGAGAGAGGGGAGTTAGTGTAGGTGGAGGAGTGGAGGGAGGGGAAACTGAATGGGATGTAATATGTAGGCAAAGAATAAATAAAAAAATTATAAATCCAGTAACAATGGCCATTGATGAACTTATATAAAAATACAGACATAGAATTAAGAAGAATAGTTATGAATATGATCACACACTTAAAAGATGATACAATATTATCCAAGAGAACACAAAAGGTTGAATGAAATAAGGAAGTCAATTCATGGTGTGAAAATAGAATTCAATAAAGAGGTGAAAATACTGACAAGGAACAAAACAGAAATTATGATGGAAATGAAAAACAAAATAGTTCAAAAAACAATTAACATTATATGTACTGAATAGGCTGTATTCAGATATATATATATACATATATATATATGTATACATACGTAACAACAATTAAATAAAAAGAGGCCATGACTTCGAAAAAGAGTGAGGGGATTACATGAGAGGGATTGGAGGGAGGAAAGGGAAGGGGAAGATGATGTAATTACATTATAATCTCAAAAACCAAGATAATATTTTTAAAATATCAGTTTTCTCTATTAAATTGTTCCATTGTGTTGAGTGAAATATGGAAAGTGGTTCCTGAGGCACATTTAGTTACAAAAAGTTCAGTGGAAGCTCTCAACAATAGAATACATCATGTGGAAGACAGAGTGTCAGTGTTTGGTTGATGACAAGGTAGAGGTCAAGATAAATGCTAAATCTTTAAAAATGTATGAATGGAACATGCAAGAACTTTGTGATTCCATGAATTGTGCACATGGAAGAGAAAATTTCCATGCCAAAAGTATAGACAATATTTATAACAAAATCATGAAGGAAAATTTCTCAAATGTTGGAAAGAGAATTTTATTTAGATTTATAGAACACCAAGCAACCAAGCAGACGGTCAGAAAGAAATCCCCTGTGTCACATTATTGTCAGAACACCCCAGAACAAAGGAAGTATTTAAAAGCTGCAAGAGAGAAAGGCAGGATCGACAGAATAACAACTGACTTTTCAATTGAAACCTTAAGATGGCTTAGTGCGGTGCATTTCAAACTCTAAAATTTATAAATGCCAACCCAGCTTAACATATCTGAAACTCTCTCTCTCTCTCTCTCTCTCTCTCTCTCTCTCTCTCTCTCTCTCTCTCTCTCTCTCTCTCTCTCTCTCTCTTCTCTCTCTCTCTCTCTCTCTCTCTCTCTCTGAGGCAAAAACTTTCCATGATAAAAATAAACAAAAAAAGTGTGTGTGTGTGGGGGGGGGAGAATGTGGCCACCAAGCCAATTCTACAGAGAACACTGGAGGGAACACTTTGGACTGAAGAGAAGGATAAACACACCCATAATGCTTCAGCAGAAAGAAATGATTCTAATACACTCATTAAGCAAAGAAAGTCCAAGAAATTACTAAACATTATAAAATAAAAACAAAATGTCAGAAATAAATGCATACTTTTCAGTAGAAATTTTGAATATTAGTTATCTCAGTTCCTCTATCAAAAGACACAAACATAGATCTCACTGGAAAATGGGATCCTTCTTTTTGTTGTCTCCAATAAACAGATTTCATCATCAAAAACAACATGACTGCAGTGTTTTGAATGACAATGCCTCCACAAGCACATATTTGAATATTTGATTCCCAGTTGATAGAATTGTTCTTGAATTAGGAGGTGTATCTTTGTTGGAGGAGGAGAGTCACTAGGGGCGACTTTGAGGTTTCAAAATGTGAGATTCCCAGGACACTCCTACCTCATGGCTGTAGATCTAGATGTGTACTTTCAGGTGTTTCTTCATTCTGACATCATGGACTCTAAACTTCTGAAACCATGAGCCAAATTAAACTCTTTCTTTTATAAGGTATGGCATTTTATCACAACAATAAAAATGTAACTAAGACAATGATGATACAATTTCTTTCCCTATGTTTATGTGTTATATTACACATTTTAAATATATGCATGTTGTCTTAGGGTTTCTATTGCTATGAAGAGGTGTCATGGTGGCATATAGGCAGATATAGGGCTGGAGAAGTAACTGAGCATTGTACATCTTGACACACAGATAACAGGAAGTTGTCTGAGACACTGGGTGTTACTTAATCATATATAAGACCTCAAAGGCCACCTGCACAGCAACACACTCCCTCCAACAATGCTAAACCTAGTCCAACAAAGCCACACCTCCTAATAGTGCTACTCCCTATGAGCTTATGGGAGCAATTACATTCAAACTATCACATATGTCATATACGCATAGCATTTCTGTATGTTATCTTCTTACTATGTTCTTAAATTTAGTTCCTAAGAATTTTGTTAAATTTTTTTCTATGTTTATCACGAAAACTGGACTATAGTTTTCTTCTTTAAAAACTGTTAATTTTTGAGATTATTACATCATTTTCTCCTTTCCTTTCCCTATTTTTGTAAACCCTCCCATATGCATCTCCTTCCTCTCTTTCAAATTCACTGCCTCTTTTTTCATTAACCCTTGTTATATGTATAATTGTATATGTGTATACATATGTATTCCATATAAGCTTCTCTATCTGATTAATGTTGCATGTATGTCTTTAGGAATGACCATTTAGTATTGGATACTCCCTGGGGAAAACTATTTCTCCCACACTTAGCATTTTCTAGTTGACTATAGTTCTTTGTATAGTGTTGAAGCTCATGATCTTTCTCTTACATAGTCTTCTTCCTTTGCATTCTTATCATGTTTTGATGTAGGGTAATGCTAGTTTTGGAGAATGAATTGGTGCTATTCTTTCCTTTTCTAAATTATAAAATGATTTTTGGGCTGGGCAGGTACTCTCATCCTCCCGATACTCTTCAGATTGTACCATTGTGAGAGCTAATGCTCAAACTGGGTGGTGTCTTCCAAATATATTGGGAGATTGGGAGGGAAATACAGCACAAAGATTGTTAGAAGCAGAGGACCTTTCAAGACTGTCTTAGGCTTCTATTGCTTTGAAGAGACACCATGACCATGGCAACTCATAAAGGAAAGCATTTGATTGGGGCTGGCTTACACATTCAGAAGTTCTATCCATTATTGTTATAGCAAGAAGCATGGTGGCATGCAGGCAGACATGGTACTGAGAGTTTTACTTCTTGATCCACAGGCAGGAGAAGAGACAGTGTACCACACTGGGGGTAACTTGAGCATATATGAGACCTCAAAATTCTCCTCCACTGTGACATACTTCCTCCAACAAGGTTATACCTACTCCAACAAGGCCATGCCTCCTAGTAGTGTCACTCTCCATGGGCCAAGCACTCAAACACATTAGTCTATGGGGACCATACATATTCAAACCACTGCAAAGACCTCCAAAGAATTTGTCACTCTTCTTGAGAGATACCACTGTAGATATCAAGTCAGCTACTGGAGTTGCAGAGTTCTAGGGTTCTACAGCAGATAGATGCCTCCAGAATTTACTATATTTAATGACCCCAGGCTCAAGATGATCAGATGCTAGACCTATTCTCAGTTGATAAGATATGCTTTGTGTATTTTCTTTATTCCAATTATTCTCCTTTACCAGGACATACAGGTGCAACTTTTAGCACTCGCTATACTTAGAAGTCTGAGGCTAGTTTCGCCTTCCCTCTGCCATCGTGCGTTGTACGCCTGAGTCGACTTCTCACCATGTCTTCTCACAAGACTTTCAGAATCAAGCGATTCCTGGCCAAGAAACAAAAGCAAAATCATTCTATTCCTCAGTGGATTCGGATAAGAACTGGTAACAAAATCAGGTACAACTCCAAGAGAAGACACTGGAGGAGAACCAAGCTGGGCCTCTAAGGATTCATACAATCAATGGCAAGAATTGAGAGTTTGCACTGAATCATGGTCAACGCAAGCTATGCTACCAGATGGAGTTCAACATTTTTAACCTGGAGATTTGGTCATATTTAAGTTGGGAATGGTTTGTCCAGTAATAAAAAATATAGAGCCTTTCAAAAAAAGAAAAAAGAAGTCTGAGGCTAACTGTGCTTACCTATACTTAACCCCTTTTTTCTGTCATAATTATCTTGGGGCCTCTTTAATTGGCTTCACTTTCTTTTTCTTGTTTTCTCCACTTCGACACATTATTGCTTGTTTGTTTTTAAGTTTGGAGAAAGGGTCTTGCTGTGTAAACCAGGCAGGCCTAAAATTTAATATAGGCTAGCCTTGAACTCACGGTCTTCCTGCCTCAGACATGCCCCTCACAGCTGTGTGATGTTTCATCCTGGTAATTTTAGTGACATGATTTAATGTGAGCATTTGACATCTTTTTTCTTATAGCAGGATACCTGTAGATCCTTGGCATGGTGTCTTATAGTTAAATCATAGTATTCAAGAGTCTGAGGCAGAAGGATTGCTGAGTTTGAGGGCAGCTTTGGCTACATAGTGAGTTTCAAGTCAGCCTAGACGACAGAGTGGCATCCTGTTTCAAAATCCTGGCTGAGCCAGGAGAATTGCCTAAACACAGGACCATCCTGGGTACATGGTGAGTTCCATTCCTTGACCTTCTGATAAAAAGAGAAAACATAAGGAAAAGCATATTATTATAAAGTTTTAAAATACACTGTCATTGAGTTTTCAATTTTATGGACAATGGGGGGAAAATAATTGTTAAGATAAATAGAAATAGGTATGCAGAAGAAAATTTTTAACATCTAAAAATGAGTTTTTACTCTAAAATTTAAGGTAAGCAATAGGTTACAATTAAGCAATATTTGGCTTCGAATGAGATAGCAACTCAAGTCAATATATGTTTGGCACATTTCCAGAAAAATTTTGGCTAGAAACAAAAACCTACAAAGAGGTCTATGTTTAAATAGTATGGTTGTGACATAAACTGACAAATGCCAGGCCTTTCTGTCTGTCACTCTCCTGGCAAAGAAAACAAAGCAGGGACCCAAGGGAAGAGTGACATGTCCAGAAGAACACACAATTTTCTGGCTTTTGTCATTATGTCACACGTTTTGTTTCTTTTAAGATACGCCTTTTACATTTTATACAAACCTCTCACAGATCTGGGGGCAGGTGACAAGCAGTCTCAAAAATAAAAATATAAAAATAAAGACAGTGATGAAATTTAAAAATTATATCCTTTAATCAATAACATTGTGTGACATGAGACCCGTCAGCACAGACAGAATGCTAATATTATAAGAGAGGCATGGGAGAGTAGTGGAGAACTCCAACCTTTAATCAGTAGCACTTGGGCTTCGATACAGTTGAAAGCAAAGCTTAGTTTTGAAGATGATTCCTATTTAAGTACTATTTGTGGTTGATAAAAGATAAGAAACAGGAGGTAAGAGACTGGAAAGGAAGAAACAGAAGCAGCTAGTACAAAACACTGTTTGGCTATTTTATCCAGGGTTTCTTCAAAACGTTTGAAGAAAAAATGCCAGAGTTTGGTAGCTGTTTTATTGACCATGGAAAGACAGAAGCAACATGGCATCAGCCTTCACTGAAGTGCTCTTTGGATTTGATAACTTTGAGGCCCAGGGTCGGACAGAAGTGCTGCATATACAGTACAGGCTCGATACATGTCTGAATGAAGTCCTCATCTGGAATTTGACACTATCAGTGAACCACTTAGGTCTGGGGCCTATGAGTGTCGCATGAAACTAACCTAGGATATTTATTGCCTCGTTGTTCTTAAAACTTTAGGTATTTTCAGCCAAAAGCAGGTAAGTTGTCAAATGTTGTCATTAAGAGCCTCTTTTTTGTGTCTTTTGGTTCTGTTTTCTTATGTCTCCCATTTTAACATACAGTTTTCCCCCTCTATGCAGTGGCAAATACAGTAACTAGCAGATTCATGGTCAAGTCTTAACAGCTCATTTATCCCTGCACTAAGAGAACGTCTCTTTCTAAAAGTTCCAGCAAAAATTTTCATTTAACCTTCTTGAACCAGTCATCACTAAAGAGGATGGAAGGACTGACCGCTAAGGCTGTGTCCAATCCAATGCCGGTTTTGGGAGTACGGGTTGGCATAGGAAGGATACAAGCTTGGGATTTCAACAAGCCCACACAAACAACAGGCTGAGTGTAATGGGCCTAGTATGTCTGTGGAAAATGACTGCCACAATTATCCTGCCTCACCATCTCTGGTACAACCCACAATCTTTATTGTCCAGATGTTTGGAGACCCATACCGTATATGAATAGTTCAATATGGATTTATAGCTAGAATGTTTAAGCAATATCAACGAGCAAATATCTTATTTTAAACTTTCTCTGAAAGTATACATATACAACACACATATATAAACCAGTTTACTTGCATAATTGTGTGTTAGTTTCTACTCTTCAAAGCAAAAATGTTTAGAAAATTTAGCAGAACACCAAACTGTATAACCAGACCATCTGTGCCATAGAATCAGTGAATTACAGTTAGTGTTCAAATACATATAATAGATTATTTTATGCAACATCTTAACAGTGAAGCAGAAAGATCTATCAGTGTTTGCCCAATTTAAACAGGACGGTCACACAACACATTTTATTTAGTATAAAGAAATGGTAACTATGGCAGGGGTTAGTATTCAAAGGCTGGCCAGTAAAAATTAGAGAGACTGAAGACTAGAAGCATAAAGAGCAGTGTCCCTGCACTAGGACTGAGCTATAAAACTCAGGGGACAGTGCTCCTCAAGCTTAGTTGGAAAGGCTTCAAGTCCTGGCTCACTGGATGAAAGAGTAGTTACCATGCTATCACCCAATAAATGGCACGCGCTGGCGACATGCCTTACAGAGAGCCAAGAAAAGTTATTCAAGAAGTCCCGTTGTATAAAAGTTTCCTCAGAAACTGAACCATTCCACCCTGCCAGGAAGCTCCATAAACAGGCAGGTAAACTACTCAACACGGCTTCAGGAAGTCCCTGAAACTGACAAGATTCACTAGGTCCATCCCTGTCAGAATAAATAATAAAAGCTGAGAGTCTCTATCAGACCAGACAAGCTGCAAGGAAGACTCTATAACTAGACTAGCTGCTCGAAAGAAGCAGAAACCAGCCGAGCTTCCTAGAGCAGGTTAGAGCAACAGAGGCAGCTGAAAAGGACACTCTCCAACCTGCCAAATCACCTACAGGCTGTGCAGTGTGCTCCAGGTTCTCACAGCTTCTGTGAGTTGTCACTTGTGCTGGGGTGGGCTTTGGTGATGCAGCTGTCTTTGAGGCATTTCTGCTCCAGTAACTTCTTGCTCATAATCATGTAAATAACTCCAATAAAACTCTAGTCCACGTTGTTCTGTGGTGGGCTCCCAAAATGGCAAGAGCAGACAGGTGTTGCCTCTCCCCAAGAAAAGTTTTGTCACATAACTGTCTCACATGAGGGACCCCACAACAAAAGCACATACTGGGAAGAAGAGCTTTCTAGAAGCACTATCACTCTGCCCTTCAGAAACCTGACACGGCAGATGTCACAAATGCTGTAGGAATTAGAGACTGTCTGCCACAAATAATCTGGGAGGGTTGGAGAGCTGCAATACAAGCTACTGCCTGAGAAATACAGAGGACTGTGAACAGCAGAGACCGCACATCAGTACTGCAAGCACTTCAGAAGAGATGTGCCCTTCCCAGAGAAGCTGGGAATGGAACAGGAAGCTTCTGGGTGTGAGCTCTGTGATCAGGAGACTGAAATCTAAACAGGAGCCTCACTGTTAAGAAGCCACATTGGTATGTGTTGTCATGAAGTCTCCATACCTTACAAGAATAAGTTTCTCTTTCCTGAGCCTAACATATCTTGCAAACACGTTTTTCAACCTATGCTGAACTTGTCACGCTATGATGCATACCCACTCCTTTTGCCTTGCTAAGCCCCTGAACAATTGTGATGACTCCCCTATCACATGATGTGTTCTTGAACTTATCTATGTCACAGGCAGCCTTGAGCCCCGAGTCCCCCACTCTTCTGTCCAGAGGCTGCTTTCTGTCAACCATAACCCTTCCCCCACAAAAGTGAGGGGCTGATATCCTGATTGGGGGATGTGAGGGGTGACAGTTGTCTGGCCAGCCCCTTGTGTGCTTCTAAATACAGCTTGCTTTAATCAGACAGTTATGGAATTGCTCTCCCCACCCCAACCACCACCGACGCCACCGACCACCCTGTCCTGGGTCTAACAAGACTGTTTTCCCTTGGTGTGTGTCTTTAAGATCTCATACACATAGAGCTTCATGGATGAGAAACATATTTAAAAAAGGCCTAGACCCATGTTCATAAAGCAAAAAGACAAGGTGAACTTGTAACTGAGACTCAACACACACACAGATAGAAGCCCTGCACATGTTTATTTTAGTGCTATGCACATGCACACCTTGTTTGTGTCCATTGTTCTCCTTATTTTCCTGAGTTTTCTCTTTGGGTAGAGATGGTGAGGATGCACACAGAGCCTCTACCTCTCAGGGGTGGCGTGTGCACTGCTCCTCCAAACATCACAGGACCAGCTAGCTAACCTATAAGGGAAGAAAGTGAGAAACGATCAATTGGCGTGGATTTCAGAAGCAGGAGTCGTGTTCCAGTTATTATTTATTCTGCGGAATAATTTTAGTGATAATCCGAGGAAGTTATTTCCAGGTTACCATTAGACTGACTTTGAGTTTGCAGAGATGGCTCCTTGCCAAGCATGAGGACCTGAGTGTGAATCTCCAGCGCTGACATGGCTGAGTGTGTCACTAACCCTAGTGCTTCAGTAGAGGGGAGATGAAGATAGGCAGATACAACACAGAAGGTTCAGCCTGCAGCTTCAGTTTCTGCAGAGCCCAGGGTAGACATTAAAGAATGAAGTGGGGTTTCTCTCCCCATTCATTGCGGTTACTTACTTCTCTGAAGGAAGTAGCTTATATTGTGCTTTACATTTTAATTGTCAATACACATTCAATAA